CACCTCAGGATTTGGGGTTGCGACAGTCAAGGGGTTAATAATAATAATAATAATAATAATAATAATAATAATAATAATAATAAATAATATAATAATTATAATAATATAATTTAACAGTAATAATAATAATAATAATATGTTGTCATTTTTAGACATTTTTTGCATTTTTTTTTCATATTTTTGTGCTAAATGCTTCAAAATAGAAATTGGTAACCATTTGGGTGGCTGTAGGTACAGCTGCTACAACCACAGCTATCTCAGTGCCAACCAAGAGTCAAAAGGAAGAGGAGGTGTGCCGCTCTGAGTGACCGCAGCAAACCCTTGGGAAGCGTAATTTTGTCTTATATTGTACAAATTTCTTACACAATGCCTCACCCAAAGAGACGGTATTTACATACAATCAGCAAGAAGTGATTAGAAACTATGAAAAAAGTTAGAGAAACGAAGAAGGCAGCAGCATAGAGTGGGGCAGCTGGCTGCCGCCACCACCACCACCATCACTGTGACCGCCCCCACCACCACCACCACTGTGGCCACAGTTATCGTGTCTTCACCTACATATACATCTGTCTTGACCACACCTGTGGTTACATATGTGACAACCTCACCACTAATCATAGATAAACACAAGTTAGGTGTGGGGTTATGGACTGGGAAGATACTAGAGTGGAAGAGTAAATGGCGGATGCTCTCTTTCACTGCCAGTGTCACCATCACTTGCCATATTATGGACTATTTTATTCATTCTAGAGTTCAGTAGGGCCCTGCTTTACGGTGTTTCACCTTACAGCGTTCCGCTAATATGGCGATGTCAAATTATGACCAAAATTTGCTATATGGCAAGCGGTCTTTCAAATATGGCGCACCCCACCTGGTTTGTTTACATTCTCCGTGACCACATCTCTTGTCAGGAAACTTTCCAAAATTTCAAGTGTTTTAAAGTTACTGTGTATTTTACATGTACTCTGATAATTATACTTATGTGTACCTGTACCTAAATATACTTACACACTGTGCTGGTGTGCAGGTACACATTAAAATCACTAAGTCTCTCTCTAATCATGACGCCAATACTACGTAATAATAATCACTCTTGGGCACATTAAATGTCTTGTTTTACATTAATACAGTATAGGCATTTTCATTAATTCATCTATGATATTTTCCTCAAAATTATACATGAAACCCTTTACATAGTTTATATTCTGTGAGTGTATGCTAAGTAAATATGAGATTTGTTTACAAAGCAGCTGTGTAGGTAGTGTCGGAAGAATTATGTTTTCTCTAGTCAAACTGGGGGATAACTGTAGAAAAATATTCTTTTCGTACGCCTTCACTCTATATATAGCAATTCACGATCCTTGTGAGTTTAGTGCTTTTCATAATAATAATAATAATAATAATATCTTCATTCACTCTAAAAATGGTGTGTTGCTGTTTGTTTATTCTGTACTAACTTGTACAACTTGTACACAATATAAGAGTATTTGTATTGTGAGGTAATTATTATAAAAAAAAAATATCGAGGTAAATGTTTTACAAACTCTTACAAATGTATGTGAATGAACTAAAAGTAGACACATATTAATATGCATTTATTTCGCCTGACCAAGTGATCGCCCAATATCTGTTCAGTTTGTATTCTTACATTGTCTGAACTCTGTATCTCGTTCTCTCTCTCTTGTTTACTCTTTCGTTAACTAGTTGGCTCTCATTGACGATGGCGTCTAAGGTTAGCTGTGATAAAAAGAGAAGTTGTAAGCCTCTTGCTTTAAGTGCCAAGTTAGAGGATGATGGTGTGCCATTCTGATTTTATTCAATAAACACCCTGCCACTCACCTCTCACACATTAATATTAATATTTTAAGGTAAGTAATAAGTGTACTCTGTGTATCTTACCTTTTATTGTGTTTTTAATGCCTATTTCTATTGCTAACTTAATATAAGTTAGTGTAAACTTGTTGTTTGGCATTTATTGCATATTTTATGTGCTCTGATAATAATACTTGTGGAGCTGTGTGGTAGCCGGGTGGAGGGACAACATTACGTTTTCTCTGCTCAGCCATCAGAGAAAACGTGTACGAATCTGCATTTGGCCCAGCCACTCCCCCACTCCACTTTTGTTTACAATTTTCAGCATGAATTATTCATTACTTCTCCCTTCGTTTATGATGGCATCTAACGGTAGTTGTTAGAAATTATTAAATTCAGTGAACAAGGTATATCAATGTTAATATGGCTCTGGGCCACAGTGTAGGTAGCCGGTAGGTGTAGCCCAGGCGGGCTACACCTACCGGCTACCTACACCGACTTCCTACAAATAAATACTACTCGTCTCTCTTCCTATATTAAGACTACACATATTTTAGGGTAAATAATGAGTGTACTGTATGATTATTTTATCTCTCTGGGATGTTTTAAATATCGTATATTAAGTATGAGACGGGGAGCCAGGGCTACCTACACCTGGGCTACCTGCACCTGACTTCCTACAAATAAGCACTACTCACCTCTCTCCCTACATTAAGATTACAAATACTTTAAGATAAGTAATGAATGTACTGTGAATGTATTTTACTTTGTGTGATTTTAATGCCTAGTTCTATTAATAACTTAATATAATTTAGTGTGAACTTGTTGTCTGGCATTTATATGCATTTATAAATGGAAAAAAATGGCGTTCTGCCTTCCGGCGATGTTTGCTTTCCGGCAACAGCCTGGAACCTAACCCGCCGTATAAGTGGGGCCCTACTGTATACATCATGTTTCTGTGTTATTAATATTGTTTATGTCATATTAGATGAACTGTGATAGATAACTAAGCCGTAGAGTTGATATTAGCATTATTTTGTCATGCCTCCTGAGAGGCTGGAAGGATTAATTGCATTTCAACTAATTTAAATGAGAAAAATTGACTCAGCATACAAACAAATCAGGATACGAACAAGGTCACAAAACGGATTAAATTCCTAAGCCAATGTTCCACTGTACGTACTTGAATATGACGCTAATACCAACTCTGCAACTTATTTATCGATCACAATTCACCTAATATGACAAACAATATTAATGACATAGAAACATGATATATACAGTAGTACCCCGAGTTTTAAACTGCTCCCAACTCGAACAATTATCTAAGTGTATTTGTGTAGTGCGTTTGTAAGTGTATTTTTGGGGGTCTGAAATGGACTAATCTAATTTACATTATTCCTTATGGGAACAAATTCATTCGGTATTGGCACTCGAGCAGCATTCTGGAATAAAATAAGTTCGAACTCGGGGTAACATTGTACTCTAGAATGAATAAAATATGTCATTACGTATGTGATTAGTGGTGGCTACTGCAGCTGCCATCCTCTCTTCTGCTGTGACTACATATCTCTCATTATTATAAGAGAAAAACAGTGTTTGTGAGGCTAACTGCACTACATCACATTTTCAAAAGGAAAACTATGTACATAATTTATAAATAAGAAATATTGTATAAAAAACAAAATAGAGAATGTAATGAAATAAAGTGGTTATTGTATGTACGTATACTATAGTACACACTTATCATGGAGGAGATGCTGGCAAAGATTTAGGATAGCGGAAGATAGAGCAGGGCAGCATATGTTGTCAGTGGCCCTGAAACCTCCAACAACACTGAATGAGTTAGTCTTGTGTTGTCTTTCATCTGTCGCTTAATCGCTTAACTTACTTGCTACAATCTTATTGCTACACTTTATCGCTGGCTGGCGCTATAGCCTTTATCGACTCCTGCTGCGTTAGTATCGTACATATCATAGAATCACTGCAGAATTCTATCGTGTTTCTCACCTTCTTTACCAAAAGGCTGGCACTAGGAACTTTCTTTGGGCCCAAGGTGGCTTATTTTGCAGTTGCAATCAATAAACAAACAAAATGTTTTGGAAGAATGCTCACTCAACCAGTGACAAAGCCAGACTGATGGCGTTCCCGGGTGGATGGACACACATGATATGTACAATTTCCGGAGTGAGGTATGAAATCCAGACAAAAATTTTGCCCAAAAAAAAGTGTTCTAAATCTGAATTGTACAATATGCGGACCGCACAACAACCAGAGTTTCACTGTATATATGTATTGTGTGTACTGTATGTTGATAAATGTTTATACTTGTGCTTTTAAACATAACATAATGACCAGTATTCTTCTTTCCTATGTTTATTATATTACAGGAATTAAATTTTAAACCATACACATGGTCACAGTTTTGTTCACCATCATACAACGCACGGGGCAGGATTGTTTTTATACTGTGCACATTCATAATACAGACCGATTCTCTCATATTTAGGCTAAAATTTACCACTCACAGCTTATCTAAGTGAACTGAGCTCATGCTGTAGAAATAAGTCAGCGACTGTTGCCTCAATGATGTAGTTCTATGTGACGGTCAGTGAAAGGGTTAAATTTGGTATTTTTGGTGTCAGTGCTGTTAGAAAAAATTCATTACCATTTTAGAAGAATTTTTTTTTTAACCCTTTAACTGTGTCTGACGTACTAGTATTAATTGCTCTTGCCGACTAGTGATCAGTTTTTCATCAAATTCAACATGCCATAAAATCCCAAGTGTTTATCAGATTTTGCTCATTTTAGTCTTATTCGATTCAGAAAGACTAACTCTTACTGAACTGTAAGAAATAATATTTTTTATTTTTTAAAATCTTCCCACAGTTAAAGGGTTAAAAAAATGTCACCAAAGGGCTTTCAAATTGGGGGCTGAGGACAGCTTAAGAGTTAAATAAGCTCAGGCAGCTGTTGGGGAATTTATGCAAAGCTTCCAGGACATTTGATCATCAAAGAGAAGACTGAGAAATTTCACCGTATCAAACATTTATCAACATTAAGATAATGCCTGTAAAGCCTAACCTCAATGTCACTTTGTACAAAAGTCAAAATATAACCACCAAGCGAAAACAGTACAGTATCTAAATATGTGCCAATTTCAGCACAGGTATTTCTATTTATCTTACCGACTTTAATGCCTTGACTTTATCTTTCAGATGTGCTGTCATCTCTTCACTTTCCTCGGCGAGTCTTTGTGTATCACTGTTGCTTCCATATGGATCATATGCATACTGTCCCATATTAACTGTGGAAAATAAATATATTGTCATATTACTGTTATGATGGCAACACAGCATTTTGATAAAAACTTTGTGTACTTTCTGTTAACACACCAGCCATCTCCCACTGAGGCAGGGGGACCCCAAAAAAAAAAGAAACAAAAGCTTTCCTTTTTACAGTTACAGAGGAACCTCGGTTGTCAAATGAACTACTTGTTGAACAAATCAGTTTTCAGACCAATTTGTTCAAATTGGTTTTTGTACATGATCTTGGCTGTCGACCAACAACGCTTGGATCACGTGATCACCAGACAAGGTCCACAGCATGGCTCTCAGTCAGTATAGCAACAATGCTCATACTGTAAACATTTCTTGAGCTCTTGCTGTGCATCTTGTGAAGGTAATGAAATCAAAAGTATGAAATTTGATAGAAAACTTATGGAATTACGCTATCACAAATTTAATGGTCTTGGCACTACAGTGGAACCTCTACTTGCGAGTTTAATCTGTTCCATGACCTTGGTCGCAACTGGATTTGCTCGTTTGCAGAGTCATTTTTCCTCATTTAAATTAATTGAAATGCAATTAAAATTTTAAACCCTTTGAATTTTTTCCCCCAAAAAAAAAAGGTTCCGAAAAAATATGTACCGTCAAAAAGGAGATACCGTGTTTGACGTTAATCTAAAACGCATAAATTCAGCGGCTTCAAACAAAGCAGGAGAGAAGCGGGGGTGGCCCAAACCCCAATGTTGGAGGGGGAAAATGGGGGTTTTCCCCCATGGTAAAAAAGGGTTTTGGGTTTTGGGGGCAACCAAATATAAAAAAAATTGGGGAAGCCAGTGGGGGGGGATTGGTGGGGAAAAAAAATTTTTAGGTTCGTTCCTTTTTTCAGAGGGGGGTTAAGCGGTAAAAGAAATTATGTGACTTTTCCCGGGAAAAATCTGGGAAAAATTTATTCCTTTCCAAGTGAGGGGGGGGCCTCTAAAAAACAAAATGGGAAATTTTGGGTCCAAATGAAGGGATTTCAATTTATTGGAATTTTTAAAAAAAGGGAGTTGTAGACCAAAAGATGGTATGGTAGGTTGGAGGAAGGGGAAAAAAACCCCATTGGCCGAGGGGGGAAAGGAAAAAAAGGAAGGAGGAAGGGAAAAAAGAGGAGGAGGGAAGAAGAGGAGGTAGGGGAAGGGGAATAGAAGGGGGAGGAAGAGGAAAGGGGGGAAGGAGAGGAAGGAAAAGGAGGAAAAGGAGGGAAGGGGAGAAGAGGGATAAGGGAGGGAGAGGAAGGAAAGGAGGGGGAAAAAGGAATGAGGAAAAAAGGACGAGGGGAAGAAGGAGGGAGGTAGGGGAAGAAGGAAGAAAAAGGGAAAGGGGTGGAAAGGGGAGGAAAAGAAAAGAAAAGAGAGAAAGAAATTTTGGAATAAATAAAAAACCTAATTTAATAATATGTTAATAATTCCCTTGGGGATGAATTTACCCTTTAACAGTAGATAAAGAGAAACTTCTTTTTTGGTGAAAATTGATAGTGAAAAAACATAATGGGAATTTATTGTAAAGCCTAAAAAAAAGAAAGAGGAGAGGAGGCCAGGAAAAGGACAGCACGGACCCTATTTGAGGAAATTTTTGGAAGGAAAGGAGAAAGAAAGGGGGAGGAAGGAGGGAGGCAGGATAGAAGGGAAGGAAAGTGGAAAAGCAAAAAGGGGAGGAAAAGTAAGGGCCCAAAAGGGGAGAAAAGGGAAAAGCCGGAAGGAAAAGCGGAGAAACAAATGGAGAGCAGAGGAAACCAAAGGAGGAACAAAAAGCAGGGGAGGTTTCAAGAGAAAAAAAACAGGAAAAGGACAGGGGGAAAGGGAGGGCCGGAGAAAGGGAAAGAGAGGAGAGGAGCGGGAAGGGGGGTAAAAGGAAAGGGGGCGGGAGGGAAGAGGAGCGAGGGGAAAGAGAGAAAGGGGGAGAGAGGGAGGAAAAGAGATATGAAAAGACAAAATTGTCGGGGTATTTGGGGAAATTCAATGGTAAGCTTTTAAAGACCCAAAGGGGGGAATGTTATCACATTTTGTTAAAATAAGATTGTTGGTTTTTTGGGTTAAACCAAAGGTAACAAAGGGATTTGTATTTATGGGAGGAAAAGTTTTAAAGGAGAGAGAGAAAGAGAGGAAGATTGAAAGTAAATGGAGAAAGATAATTGATTGTGTGAGGGGGGAAAACACCCGTCCCCAGTGAAGGCCGGTAGGGGGGGATATGGGGGCAATAGGAAAATGAATTAAGGGCCCCGGGGATTGATAAACAAAAAAGAAATGAAGGGGGGGACAAGTTTGGAAGGGTTTGTAATTTAAATTTAGGGAAGAGGTAGTACCTAGGGACAATGGGATATATTTTTTATAAACCAAAGGGGAAAAGGGAGGCAAATTAAGGGGGATAGGGACTAAGGGAAAGGAAGGGAAAAAAGTAAGAGGGAAAGGATAAGGAAGGGGTTTAGGAAGGAGGGGTGGTGCCCTCCCGGGTGAAAAATAAGGAAATTGGGAAGGAAAAAAGACCCGGCCATTTATTGGAAACAAATAACACAATGCCTGTAATTTGAAGGAAGGTGTGGGACAAAAGGGGGTTTTTTTCCAATATAAAATAAATTAAAAAGGAAATATTTTTGTGTAGGTTAAAAATTTGTGTATGCACCAGGGTTTTATATTTTTGAGGGTTGTAAAAAATTTTATGAAAGGGGGGTTTTGGAGGTGGGTGTAAAAACACCACGTGATTGCACATGTTTTATGGTTTTGGGAGTTTAAAAAGCAATTGGTATGAAATTTTTATGTGAAGAGTGAAAAAACATTTAACCATTTTTGGAAAAAGGGAAAAATGGTAGGAACCATGTTTAGGTGTAAGATTGAAAACAATGGAGAACCAGTTTAGGAGGGGGTTACAAGTCAGAATTTGGAAAGTAGTTCAGGACTGTTTGGAAAATATGAACAATTGTGGGGAAAAAGAAAGTGGTTTGTTTTTGTAAAAAGTTTTGGGAAAAATTATTGAAATTATGTTTTGTCTTATTGGTTTGATACAAGGGTGATAATTTTACAGAATTTACTTTGGTTCACGGGGGCTTTGTATGTGAAAAAATAAAATGTTTGGGAAAAACAACAAAACTTTTAAAAGGGGGTCTAAGGGGTTTGAGGTGGCGGCAGTGGGCTGGCCCAACGGGCCATTCTCAACTTAGGGGAATCTATTCCTAAAAAAGGGTATGATGGAAAAATTTTTTGGGGGTTTACTTCAGAATTCAAAATTTTCATAAGGAAAAATTTTTTATATTTTCGTATTGGAAAGGGAACATTTAGGAGGGGTTCAAAACAGCAGGGGTTAATCCTTAGGGGGAATCAGTTACTCAAATTAATTTGCATTTACAACAACTTATGGTTAAGACTTCTCAACATAATATGAATAATGGGAAAATTAAACCCCTGCCTTGACATATATTAAAAAAAAAAAATTCACGTAGTGGTATGGGTGTTGTCGGTGGTGGATGAGAGTTTGTCTGGAGACCGGGCAAAATACTTCATGAATAATTTCGCTAATATCATCTATATGGCTTATTTATGTATCACAGTTCATCTAATATGACATAAACAATATAAATAACATAGAAACATGATACATACTCTAGAATGAATAAAATATATCATTATGTAACAGGTGGAGGCAGCCACCACTCCCTCTTTGTTGTGGTAAACACTGCCGTCTAGTGATGGCCTTTTGAAGCCGCCTATTATTATAATTATTATATGTAGTACATTATTATTATATAGGTATTATTATTAAACGTATTATATTATTATTATTATTATAATACATATTATTATATATTATTATTATACATATTATTATTATATAAACAATTTGTAGTTTTTATTCACACAAAAAATATAATAAGACTTACTGTTATTCCTTATTGGAATACAGTGGACCCTCGGCCAACGATGGCATCGTCTAACGTTAAATCCGACTAGCGATACATTTTACCGCAAAAATTTTGCCTCGACTAGCACTAAAAAACTCGACCAACACAATTCGTTCCATCTGAAAAGTGTTTACAAGCCAGCCAGCCAGCCACCGCAGTCCCATCCAAACATACAGTCGGAACATTTCATATTATCACAGTGTTTTTAGTGATTGCACCTGCAAAATAAGTCACCATGGGCCCCAAGGAAGCTTCTAGTGCCAACCCTACAGCAAAAAGGGTAAGAATTACTATGGATATGAAGAAAGAGATCATTGCTAAGTATGAAAGTATAGTGTGCATCTCCGAGCTGGCCAGGTTGTACACAAAACCCCAATCAACCATCATTACTATTGTGGCCAAGAAAACGGCAATCGAGGAAGCTTTTTCTTCCCAAAAGGGGTGCAACTATGTTTTCGAAACTGAGATCGCAAGTGATAGAAGATGTTGAGAGAGTGTTATTGGTGTGGATAAACGAAAAACAGATAGCAGGAGATAGAATCTCTCAAGCGATCATATGTGAAAAGGCTAGGAAGTTGCACGAGGATTTAATTAGAAAAATGCCTGCAACTAGTGGTGATGTGAGTGAATTTAAGGCCAGAAAAGGTTGGTTTGAGAGATTTAAGAATCGTAGTGGCATACATAGTGTGATAAGGCATGGTGAGGCTGCCATTTTGGACCAAAAAGCAGCTGAAAAATATGTGCAGGAATTCAAGGAGTACATAGTGAAAAATTGAAACCTGAACAAGTGTTTAATTGTGACAATGACAATGTTGTGAAACACTTTAGGAATGTCATAAAGGAACGGGAGGTACAGGCCTCTATGGACAGATATGTTGTGCGACAGAGGTCCAGTGACTCAAGCTGGCCCTAGTGGAAATTAAAAGAAGGGAAGTAACCCCGGAAAAGGGCCCCGCAACCTCAAGTCCTAAATGGAAGGGGATTCCCCTTCTAAACAACTAACACCATCCACACTCTCCCCTCCTCCCATCCCATCAATCATCACCAGATCTTCAGTAAAGGTAAATGTCATGTAATTGTACATGTCTTCTTAGTTTGTGTGTATTAA